ATAATAATAAATAATTTGATTGTTTTCTCAATTTTCCCACTTCTTAGCCCATTCAACATGCAAAGGGGGACCTCATCGGGTGAGCACAACTCTTACCCCAGTTCTCTGGTGGGGAGGCTGAAGCCCAGAGAAACTGGGGTAACTTGCCTCAGGTGCCACTGCTTGGAAATAGTGCAGTGAAGGCCACTTCTGTGAGAAATGGTCTCCAAACTGTTAGGTGTCACACAGGGGCCAAGATGAAATTGTTCTGAGCCTCCTGTGTCTTTTTTCCTCTGTCTCCATCTACCTTTCTCTGCCCTCAGCTTGGTCCCCTTTAAGTCAGCATCAGGGGATGGCAGCCTTTGCTACATTTGCAAGTTGTCTTTTTAAAATTAGCACGGAAGGGCCGGGGATTTAGCTCAGTGATTCCACAGCCTGCCTCGCAAGGGCAAGGTCCTGAGTTCCATCTCCCGTACCAAGTAAATAAATAAATAAATAAAATTAGTGCTTAAAAGATGAATTTCCTGCTGGGCATGGTGCCACACCTGTAATCCGGCACCTGGGAGGCTGAGGCAGGAGGATTGCTGTGAGTTCAAGGCCAGCCTGGACTACATATCAAGACTTTGTCTATAAATAAGTAAATAAATAAATTTGAGAAAGGGTCTTGATAAATCGCTAAATTGTCCAGGCTGGATAGGAACTTGTGATCTTCCTGGTTTGTCTTCCTAGAGTGTTGGGGTTACAGGTGTGTGCCACCATACCTAGGTCCAATGCTTCCTTTGAATAAAAACCATTGTGGGGGGTCGGGGATTTGGCTCAGTGCACCGTGCCTACTTCAAAAGCACAAGGTCCTGAGCTCCCTAGTACCAAAATCGCTAAATTGTCCAGGCTGGATAGGAACTTGTGATCTTCCTGGTTTGTCTTCCTAGAGTGTTGGGGTTACAGGTGTGTGCCACCATACCTAGGTCCAATGCTTCCTTTGAATAAAAACCATTGTGGGGGGTCGGGGATTTGGCTCAGTGCACCGTGCCTACTTCAAAAGCACAAGGTCCTGAGCTCCCTAGTACCAAAAACCAAAAACACAAAACAAAACAAAAAAAAATTATGGGAGGTCTTTTTACCATTCTTAATGTACAAGTCTTGGTGGTATGGGGCTGTCCCCCAGCATCAGGGCCCCGTCAATTCAACGTCAAAGCACCAAAATCTGCCTCCCAGGAGTCTCCACCCCCTCGCCACTGGCCAGATAATAACAGAACCCCTGTCAGTCCTGTTCACTTCAGCACTGTGGATAAAAGAGCTATGGTATCATCCCTTCGACCCAGCAGCCTTCTCCCAAGCCCCTTGCTACTCTCCTGCAGACTTTGACAGCCTACCGCTGACTCTCCGTGTACCTCCAACTTCTGTAGCCTCGGTCCTTGTGCCTAAGGACTGTGCTCAGTCAAGACTGTGACTCTAGTAAGGGAGAGGACAAGGGAGATTGATCTAATCAAAATATAGTGGGAGTGGGCCGGGGACTTAGCTCAGTGGTTCTGCTGACTGCCTTGAAAGTGCAAGGTCCTGAATTTGATCCCTGGTACCCCAAAAAAAAGCACCTGCCTTGAAATTTACTGGGGGTGCTGGCGCACACCTGTAGTCACAGCATTTGGGAGCCCAAGGCAGGAGGATCATTGTGAGTGTGAGGCCAAACTACAGAGGGAAATGCTTATCTCTAAAAAACAAACAAAAATACAAATTGAAATTCAATATATTATAAAATTAATAATAATAATAACAACAACAACAGGAAAAATAAAATGTAAAAAGAGCCAGGTGTAGTGGCACATGCCTGTAATCTCAGCACTCTGGGAGGCTGAAGCAGGAAGATTGGATGTTCAAATTCAGCCTGGGTAATTTAGTGACCTATTGAGGCTCTGCCTCAAAACAAAAAATAAAGAGCTGGGAGTGTATCTCAGTGTTAATGCCCTGGATTAAATCCCCAGCACTGACCACAAAAATAAAATAAATAGCCAGTGGAAATTATCACTGGCTGTTTGAGATTGTGAGTTTTAATTTATTTTACTTTTTTGGTCCTGGGGATTGGGAGTCCTATTTGACTCAGCCATCCCTCTGCTGGGCATCTTCCCAAAAGAATTGAAGAATCATACCACAGTGACATATGCTCACCCATGCTTACAGCGGCACAGTGTGTAATAGCTAAAACTTGGAAACAGCCCGATTACCCATGAACTGGAGATTGGATAAAGATGTGGTTTTTCTATAAAATGGAGTACTACTCAGCCATAAAGAACAAGAAACTAGAGACATTTATAGCTAAACGGATGCACATTGAGGCCATACTCTCAAGTGAAATTAATGTCACACATGTGTAAATACCGAATCATTTCTCTGCTCTGTCAAAAACAATTTTTTTTTTTGGTTTGAGACAGGGTCTCACTAGGTAGTTGAGACTGACCTGGAACTCACTATGTAGCCCAGGCTGGACTAGAACTCACAGTGATCCTTCTGCCTCAGCCTCCCAAGGGCTGGGATTACAGGCGTGCACCACCAGGCCCTGCTCTGTCAAAATTTTTAAAAATATTTTTTAAAGGGCTGGGGATGTAGCTCAACATGAGGTCCTGGGATCCAACTCAGGACCTTGCACTTGCAAGGTAGGTGGCAGCACCACTGAGCTAAATCCCCAGCCCTCCATGCTGGCCTTTAACTCACTGTGTAGCACAGGCTGGCCTCGAATTCGCTAGTGATCCTCCTGCCTCAGCCTCCTAAGTACTGTGATTACAGGCATGCTCCACCACTTGGCTAAATTCACAGATTTTAATCATTTAAAAAATGACTCATGATATGAGAATATGCTATATTTTATTTATTTAAGTGTGTGGGGGGGGAATATAGGAGCAGAACAATGACATATAGTGGCTTAGTCATTGACTCATGAACAGAGTCTTCTGGGTGTTTCTGTGGGGTTTTTTTGTTTTTGTTTGTTTTTTTGTTTTGTTTTGTTTTTTGTTTTTTGAGACAGCGTCTCACTATGTAGTGAGACTGACCAGGAACTCACTATGTAGCTCAGGCTGGTCTCTAACTCACAGCGATCCTCCTGCCTCAGCCTCCCGAGTGCTGGGGTTACAGGCGTGCACCACCATGCTTGGCACTAGGATACATTTTGAAAGGCAGAAAATAAGTTTTCTATAAATGTAGGCTTAGTTTTAGGATGTATTTATGCAGTAGTAACTACCAGAAGGGGGGAAAAAGCGTGACATTCCACCCTGGGGCCGCCCCCTGCAGAGGCCACTCTAACCCTGGCAGGACCCACGCGGTGGGCGACGGCACTCAGGGCCACTCCAGGACAGGACGGGCGGGGCGGGGCGGGGCGCGGCGGCCATCTTTGCCCAAGCCATGCTGCTCATGGGGGAGGAGTGCGCTGTACGGAGAGGGGATGCAGCGTGCTGCAACGCGGAGCAGCCTGATTGACCCAAGATCCCGTCCTCTCCTTCCTCCTCTCAGCCGTCTCGGGCGGATCTCACTCTTCGGTCTACCACTGGTCTCTTTCACATTGGCGTACTTATGCTCGCTACCCCCAGCCCCTCCATTCCTCAATTTTGAACCAGCTCTCAGCGAACTGGAGCAAGTAATTGGCTCAAGGACCGACGAGGTGGCTCTGATTGGTCAACGACTGAATTCTGGTCTCTGTTATTCTCCGAAGTTGCGTGGCTTTGGGAAACACATAGTCCCGCCTCTGTTTCCGCATGCGGGGTTCCCATTGGTTACCGCTTCAGAGCCCGAGTACCGGGCGGCAGCTTCTGGCCCCGGCTGCCCCGACGATTTCGGGTAGTGTGTTAGAGCACCTCCCCAGGGTGTAGGATTACTTATCTGTAAAGGAGCAAATGACAGTGCCATCTTTGGAAGCAAGTGATGTCTCACACCAGGACCTGGCATTTCCATCGTAACTTATGTGACAAATCCAGCAGGGCTTTCCTGCCTGTGCCCAGCCATTCTTAGATTCATTTGCTCTCTAGTTTCTTAAAGTGTTGTTTTGCGTTTGGATTTTCCGGATGGGACAGGCACAGTGTTTGATTCTCCCAAACACCATAAATCTCAGAGCAAGTATCCTGTGGTGTTTAGATACAATGGACTAAGATAATATTAAATTTTGACAAAATAGATAAGAAATTTATAGCAGTTAAAAATGCACCCCTGGCTGGGCATGGTGGCCTACGCCTTTGTTCTCAGCATTCAGGAGGCTGAGGCAGGATTGTTAGAGGCCGGCCTGGGCTACATAATGAGCCTGAACTCATAGGGAGACTTGTCTCAAAAATGAAAGAAGAGAGCTAGGAGAGATAGGAGAGAGGGAGAGGACATGGGCCCTTCGGGAAATGACAGGTGATGACAGTGCGGGGGTGGCGGCGTGAGTGATGCTGTAAAATAAGCCCAATGAGGACACCTCAAGGACTCTGCAGCCTGCAAGGGGCCTCCCTGACCTCAGGCTTCCAATCTCCAGCACCACAAGGAGTAAGTTTCTGTGGTTCAGAAGCCACCCAGTCTTTAAGACTTGGTTATAGCAGCCCAGCATGACTAAGACAGACAGTGGGACCAAAAGTAGCAAGTGTTGTTCTAACAAAGACCTAACAGTGTGGCTGGGGCGTTGGAACCTTGCAGTGAATGGGTAGAGCTGGAAGAATCTGGCTGTACAATGTAGAAAAGGCCTGTGGGGCTGTGAATGGGTTGTTGAAGGTGATTCTGAGAAGACTCAAGAGAGAAAAGAGGAGGGCTACAGAGAAAGCTTCTGTCTTCCTTGAAAATACCCAGGTCATCATGAACAGATTTCTTGGCAGGAATGTGGATGGCTAAGGTCATTCTAATGAGATCTTGGGAAGAAATGGGGAACATGTTATTGAACAATGAAGAAAAAATGAACCTTGTCATAAAGTGGCAGAGATAGGATGGGCATGGTAGCACATGCTTGTAATCCCAGCACTCAGGAGGCTGAGGCAGAACAATCACTATGAGTTCGAGGCCAGTCTGGGCTACATAGTGAGTTCAAGCCCATCCTGAACTATATAGGGAGACCCTGTCTCAAAAAAAATTTTTTTGATGACTTTTTTGGTACCAGGGATCGAACTCAGGACCTTGTACTCTCGAGGCAGGCACAGTGCCACTAAGCTAAATCCCCAGCCTTAGAAATGATATTTAGTAAAACAATGTTGAAGGATTAGCTTGGTTCCTCCTGACTGCTTATAGTAAAGGTGAAACATGAATTAAAGACCAAATTGTTAAGTGAGACAGGTGTGGTGGTGCACACCTGTGGTTCCAGCACTCAGGAGGATGAGGTAGGGGGATTGCCATGAGTTCAAGGCCAGCCTGGGCTACATAGTTCATTTTTTTTTTTTTTTGGTACCAGGGTTTGAACTCGGG